TCAACTTGAACAACAGAATGTGTCTTCTACAAGTGAAAAATCAGATTTTTTAAAAATTAAAGCAAAATCAGAATTAGTAAAAATCGATTCATATTGTCCAAAAGTTAAAAAAAATGTTTTTTTCTCACATTTAGGAATGTTTTCCGGGCATTGTTTTTTTTTATAACATTTGCTCTCTGGCACGTGCCAGTCTAGAACCATTCATTCAGAACCATTTGACAAAACAGCTGGGTGCACATTTATAAAACGGTCTTCACCCGCAAACACATCCTTCACACATTAGTTACTACGATATTCATAATTGGAAAATATTGCACTAGACATCTATATTTAACGTCTCAAGGGAAGCTTTATCTGAAACCAAACCGTTTGTTTAGAGGTACATTTGTATACCTGTGTAGAACCGTACAGGTATTGGAATTCACAGTTAGTTCATATCATGTTGACGTGAAAGTCTTGACCAGAGCATCGGTCCGAAGAGCCATGTGATCTTCCTAGAATAACTGGCATCCCGCAGATACGGTCAAGGACATACATTTGCCTTCGTAATTCCCAAAATCGAAAAGAAAAGTTTGCTTCCGGGTTTGTAAGGGTAGCATGTGTATTGCACTGGTGTGTGGTGTGATGTGATGCCTAGATTGCCTAGGTAGAAATCGATCCACAGAACGACGAAAATCTAAGCTGGGGTTTATCTCTAAGGATAATCGGGCTTCACGCCGCAATAAAATAGCGCAAACCACCTGTTCCAGTACGAAATTATCTACAAAAACCAGCTATCTAACGATGGTCTTGAGGAAAATGTTGTGTAACAAAAGGAAAAAATCTCGAAACACAATAATGATGTGCTTAATGTTCGTTTAACATTGGGAACGACCTCAGGTAACGTGGTTAATGTCGAAATAACGTTTATCATCCGAATATCAAATGCAGCATCGTTTGAAACAGATATGCAAGTATTTGTCAAGTCGAAAAGGCAATTCCGCCATAACATCAGGAACATTTTGTTGGAATTGTCTTCCATAACAAGACAAACTTCCATAGCAGTTTTACAGTTAAGAAAAGAAGAAGCAATATAAAGCAAAGACAAAATATTTTTCCTTTCTTCAAAACGGCCATTTCATATGCAGCAGTGCTAATCTCTTTGAGAAAGGTGTTAGAAACAAGCCACTCTTCTTTACCGTCCTGGGTTTAGTACAATCTTTCCTATCTTCAGCTTCATTCACTTCAGAAAAATTCGAGAGCACGAAAATTTCAAGCATTCTTCTAATGACTTAACTTTAATGGTTTAGTAGGAGTATTTAGTCCAGCGATTCAGCAAGAAGGCAATAAGTTGACTTTGAGAGAAAAATTAGCAAGTGCACAGTTCTACTAAGCATATGAAAGTTACATATTTTTTTTAGCGATGATTTAATATCCCAGCAACAATTTGCTCTCAAAATAATGTTTTTCTCAAAAACCAACAAAACCGTGGGGCTTTGATCCTCCTACTCGTAAAAACCTCAACCCATAAAATCAAAAGTTTTATGCCTCAATAACTAACGCCTTGCTGAATGCGGTGATGGTCCGGTCGCTCGGTTGCCTTTAAAAAAATGCATAAAACCTAAAATATTCTCAGTCCCACATGGGTACCGTTTTTGTATGGAACCAAATCAAATTAATTCAGTTTGGTTCGGTTGAATTTTTTTTATTGTAACAGACCCAATCTCTGACGTAATCCAACCGTAAAAAACAGGCAGTTTGTATGCCCACAGAATATTATACATTCACAGCAGCAGGGCATTGAACATAACGTTCCTGCGTAGTTTTGTCCAAGGTTACCTGAAGAAGAGTGTTCAGGGGCTGACTTCCTACCATGTTGTCAAGTAAACGGGCCAAAGAACCAATTGATGCAGAAATCGTTACGAAATTAATTTCTAGTTGAACCAAAAGTAACAAAAGTTCTTCTTGAGAAAATGAGTCAAAATTGATATCAGCTGCTGAAGCTGGATCTCGCTGGTTGAACTTGCTGATGAAAATCCGACTTTTAGCTTTTGTGATTGTTTTTTCAATTAAGCAGCAGGAAAAACTGCGGAAATTTACAATTTTTAAGTGACATCGGGAAAACTCGTCTTCCTATATGTGAAGACATGGCAGCATCGGAACACCTGAGCACAAACCGGTACCCTTGCGTTTTTTATCGACGAGTCCGAAAAGGCTTGGCTACTTGCGAAGGAATGGGGACCTTTTAGAAGCTATTGATCATATCACGTTTATAAAGGTGGCAAAGAAATGGAAATACGGATTATATTTGGAATACATTAATTAGCAACTTGGGCCATCAGGCCTTCTGAACAAAACCCCAATGGAGCTATTCGTCTTTTGTTGAAGTTATTATTGTTTGCGATCGCACAAGTAGAGAGGACTCTAAAGTCTTTAAACAGAAGTAGACTAGTTTTTGAAATAATGGCAAAGAGAAACACGTTTTTTGGTCCAGACAAATTCAAGTTCACGCTCGACATAATCAAGCTCGATATTTCTGCTAATTTGAAAGGTTCTACTGGTTTACATGGTTGCGAGTGTTTGAAAAATGCATAAACGTTAACGTAAGGAGTTTTCACAAAGTAAAAGTCGGGCGAAAATGGCAATCACTTCTTTAAAACCATTGGGAAAAACCCTACCGGTTTTTTAATTTCCAGAAAATATTTGTATTATTCATATGTTCCAAATTTACTAGTAGAAAATACATCACTTGATCTTGCACTTGATCAAGCATAAATCATCGAAGCTCAAAATATGTTTAACTTCTGCAGAAATTCAGAAATACTTTTTATGGACAAAGTCCGGATAGCTGCATGCTGAAGTAAAATTGAATACTGATATACTCGTTGCTCGAAAAAAGCAGTAGATTAATCAAATAAATGTTATACCAATTATATAAAAAAAGCACAAGACAATTTATACCCGTTTCCTGATTCGAATAGTTTCCATTAAATTTATAGATCAACCAGTTTATAAAATAAAAATGATTTTTAAATTATATTATTCTGTCTCTTCAGTTGCCAAATCCACTTCTTTTACGTCTCCAGCATGAAACTCTGTGCGTTTATAGTTACTTCTTCACTTTTACGTTGAGATTTGCCATTTCCTGTCGATCTTTTTTAATTTCCTTCCTCTTAGTTTTATCACCAACAATTTACTACTGTTTTTTTATTTCCGCAGATAGTGCATTATGTATGCGATAAAAACCAGCAATTAGCATAATGGTTTATAAATATTTAATTTAATCTTAGTAAATGTCGTTCTTCATTTACCTAATTATAAATTTACATCAACGCCGATTAGTAAGCATTGTTTTTCATTATTTCTCAATTTTGCAAAATAGCGTTGCAAGAAAATTGACAATTTCAAGCAAACTAAGAAAAACTTTGCAAATATCATTTAAAACTGTAAACTGGTTGGAAATGGCTATTTCAACTTCTTTTTCATAAAAAGAACGCTCTGGAAAATAAAATATTTTTATTACCGGAATCGTTTTCATTCACTCTTGTGGGTTACTTGCTTCATTCACTCTTGTGGGCTCTTTGCAAAATCTTGCAATTTTTTTCCATGAAATCATTCAGAATTGAACCGTAAAGATTTTTCAAAAGATGGCTTTACCAGACAAGGTGCTACTAACTAATGTTTAATTTTAGAACTATGCTAGTTGGTACCTTGTACTGGCTTAGAATGTAAAATTTGATATCCTGTCAGATATATCCAAAACATTGATCTGGCTTTTTAACTATTCAATCCATACAAACCGCGACCGGAACTCTCCATCACGTCCGTCGCTGCCAATGATCAAATCAACATTCAACCGACCAATAAAAATTAAATATCGTATTCTAACGGCTTTTCGTTCCATAATGATTTTTTAATTTAGAACTAGGCAGTAGTTGGCCATCCATTCAAAACTGTTTTCGCAGTCAAGGTCTCCTATCCGTTCGAATTAAACCAGTATTTTTTTCCCATCCTGGGTCAATAGCCAATGTGAAGGATTTGCGCCATGCTTTTGTTAATTTTTTATGGTAAACATCTGTACTTACATTATCTAACGCTGTTGCCTTACCTACCAAACGAATTACCAAACCAATTTTTTTATCACGTTGAAACTCTCAATTTCCTCTTTACTATAAAGCAATTAAGGATTTGAGGAAAATGAAGACAGTTTCTTTTAAGAACCATTAGGAAGAATGGAAGAGGAAGTGAAAACAGGATAATTAAGGAATGAGACACATCTACTAATCATTACACGTCATCAATTTTGAAGATGCAGAATAAATCTATAAAAAAAGATAATAGAAGTGGAATATACAGAGCGATTTGAATTGATTGAATAAAATTCCGGTCAATCAGCAAATCGTGGCAAAAAGACCTAAATTCATATTTTTTCAGCTACAATTCACAAGACAAAAGAGCTCCAATGAAAAATTACCCTTAACACTTTCGCATTTTCAATCGCGTTCAGTTGCTTTTATATTCGAAAACAAAAAAGCAAAATTAACTTTAAATATCTGCAAGAAACTACAATTTGATACAAAAAATAAATAATGAATGTTTGCATCTGCGTCGGATTGAAACGCAATTGATTTCGCGGAAATTTTCGTTTAAAATTCAAGGATGGTTAGTGAACCAAAAAGCCACATAACATGTTTGTTTTGGTATCTTTGTGGAGTTCCCTGAATACTTGGTGCCAATTTGACTTTCAAAGCTGTAATCGGCACAATGAACCGATTTTGTTTAAATATATTTCCAAAATATCTGAATCAATGTCCCCAAAAGGTTTCATTTCGTACGAGCAAATTTGAAACAAAATTTTGTAGAAATTTTAAAAGCGCACAAAAAATAATTTTTAGTAAAAATTGGGGTTGATACTTTGGCCAACTTCTGACTATACTATGCTTGAGTGCTAGAGCCTCTAGAGAAAGCTAAAAAAATCCATATCGCAAATTATATGCGCTAATTGAGTGATTTTTTTGCAGGACAAAGTGATTTACTCAAGCCGGTTACTGTTGAAAAGAAGCCTGGAAAAACTCCGGAAAAACCAGCCACCTCACCCACCGGAACAAAACCTCCAAGACGATTTGTCTCTTCGTTTAAAGGATTTGATTTCAGTGGCAGAAATCCGAAAAAAGATGAGCCTGTTGATGAGAAGGCCGAAAACCCCATCCCTACACCCGAAAAGGCATATAGCTAAATTAATTTAATAATAAAACTGGTGAATTTTGGGGCATTTTAGAGCTTTTTAGGCTTACGAAACGACAAGAATTTTTGTTTCTGCGAAGGGCTTAAGAGCTCTTTTACACGAGGATACAGTTGCCCGCTGATTCTTCGCAGACCGAAATCTCCGATGCCATTTACATTGCGGGATACTCATCGCAGACTTGTAGCAAAACAGCAAAGTAGTAGCCGGGTTCTCATAATAAACGAACAGGCCAATAAAGGCCCATAGAAAATATAATAAAAAATAATAAAAATAGGCCCGGAAGTCGTAAAATTGCCAGAGCGACTGGAACTCACGGCTGATCGAAATTCAGTTGCCGAAACTGATTGTGAAAAGTATCCCTGTGTGTATGGTTCCATAAGGCTGTATGTTAAACCAGTATCCGAAACAATAGTTGCCGGGTAAAAGTATCGTGGTGTAAAATGGCCCTTAGAGCTCAAAAAGCCCAAAGCTCAAAAATCTCCAGTTTTACGCAATGGGCGCAAAAGAGACTGTCAACATGAAGAACTGATGTTTTGCAATAGAAAACAAAAAAATTGAAATTTACCAAAAAGTAGCAATTCACAAAGTTAACAAATTATTTCTCTAAAGGTGGTTTTACCAGTTTACTCAAAGCCCAAAGACAATGTCGTGCGAGCTCCAGAGCTTGTACCATATGTCTCTGTCATCAAGAGAGCACCTAATGCGGCTAGTAAAACGAACGACCGAATAGATCCTTGTAAGTAGTAAATCAAAGCTGTTGAACTGGAAGCAGTATTTAAACTTGTAATTTGTTCTTTTTAGCTCTGATGCCAGATCGGATTGTGCACCAAGAGCCGGAACAAGAGGAGCCTATAGACTATCATATACCAAAAAGGGAAGAAGGCCAAACCGAAGAAAGCGATGGAAGGAACCTGAGAAGACCTGGAGCAGTGAAAATTTTCCCAACTCTTGGTACTTACAAGTACACGAAAATGAGCAAATACGCTCACACCGTAGCTGCAGCAGGACACAGTACGTAAAACTCATGATCCTCTCTTCAGATGTAGCAAAGTACTTTTTTTAATTTTTTTGTTGTACAACATTATCCAAACAATTCTTTGTTTCCACGAATTTTTAAGTAATCTTACAACAATTTAGAAAAAACTTTTCATTTGTTTGGAAGCAGTGTTTCATCCGGCATTGCAAATTTTCAGCTGCTCAATTGTGATTTCCCAAAGAAGCATTGATGCATTTTTGCCTCAAAAACATGTTCTCATGTTTTGAAAGACTAATGCAACACTAAATGACGATTGACGAAAAATCTCTATATTTGTAGATTTCCCGCCATTCCTCATTCAGTTGCAGTGTCTCCTACATAGCCGCAAAATCGATTAGTAATCAAAGTTAAAGATTTATTTAAAAAATTGCTTTGGTCTTTTCTGGTTAGTTTCCTCAAATTCTGAACATTGAATGAATTATTCCAGGTCGAAGCAATAACCCTCCTAATACTAGCGCAAGCTCAAATGGAAGTACTGGAGGTTCTGGGGGCGGTGGCTCCATTAGTTTTAGTGGTGGAGGCGGAGGAGGCTGCAGTGGCGGCAGCATGGGGGGCGCCACTGGGGGTGGAGGTGGCGGAATGAATCCTGGGAGAGATGGCCGTCAAAATTATGGTCCTAATAGTCCTCCCACAGGTGAGAATGACGCTGGATGGTCATTTGATTCTACCGAGGCAACGGGCAAACGATTTGCGCAAAGCGTGAATAAAAAAGCTCACAAAACACAACCATATTGCGTCTATAAGACGTTTAAACGACGTGAGTTTATCTTGTTCATCTTACGTGTTTTTGATATTATTTCGTTTGCCTCAATTCACGTAAATTAGTCGGCTCCATGTCAAATTAAGATCAAAATACCACATGTGTTCAATGTCTAGTCATATTTGTGGTTGCTTGAGTACTAACTGCAACAGCAATATTTTCTGCGAAGAACTTTATGTTCAATTTTTTTAATTTGGCATTTGAATTGAAAATTTCGTGAACGAAGCTATTCTAGATAATCAATTCAAATTTCACATTTCGACTGCGATCTGCAGAATGGGTGCTTTATGCAATGTCTTCATATGTAATCAAAATTAATAAATAATAATCTACAGGTTCATTGCCGCCTTTTTATGAGTCGCTGAAAGGGGGCAACAATAACAATGGATTCAATCCCAACAGTCCTTTTTCCTCTTCGTACATGCACTCAGGCCAACAAAATATGGATTGCGAAATAGGACAGGTAAATATTCCAGATGCAAATTGAATATCTTGATATATCAAGAAATTACATATCATTAAGAGATGTGTTTCCTTCGTGGGGATTCGGTCTGGGCAGTGGTGAAAAAGAAAAAAAAACTACCAGCTACCAAGCTTTCGGCGATTTATTTTTTCCGCCTTCTTTAGGACTAGAAGAGTCCTGTAATAGATTACAAAATGAGGACATATACTATAATGGATTTTAACGGGGTTAAAGTGGTGAATGTTGAATCAGGCTATTACACAAGAATATTTCTTCAAATGATAGAAATATCCATAGAAGCAATGGATCCATTTATGCCAATCTAATAAACATAGGAACCATACACGAGAATAGTCTACTTAGTTAATTTCTCCACTACAAAATTTATTTAGAAAAATCACAACTTTTTATTATTTACAACCAGTATATGCACTAGTGAAAAATAGTTTTTTCTAGCTTGTAGATCGTAGAATGCAGACTACATACAATAATACATTAATTTTCCATTTAAATTCAAGACGTAACTAATAATGCATTATTATCTATCAAACCGTTCATAGCATCTACAGAATTTAAGAAAACCTAAGTCATATAAATGACAAATGCAACTTGCTAACACTAATAATTGGAGGAAAAAAGTCATATGAAAACAACATAAGAAAAGATGAATTTTGGAAGCATTTTGAACTTATAGCGTTGGTGATGGACATTGGAAATATTTTAAGCAGATTATTTCGATGTACGTAACCTTCAGCTGGTCAATAAATATGCTGTTCTCATTTTGTTTCCCTTTGTCTCTCTACAAACTGTAATATGTGAATTTTTCATATGTGACTACCATAGATTAACTAAGTACCATTGGACCCAACAATGTGACTCCAGGAAATGGCAGTGACCATCCGTTAAATAATGTTGTGCTTCGTTTTATTCGCGATTTATTGTTCGATTGCTTTTTGGAAAGACTCTTCTCAGCTGAAAAATGTTTTTTTTTAATTTTCGCCACTGCAACTATGTTTGAATCGTTAATTATGCCCGATACAAAGCTTAATTAACGATCTATCTTCAATCAAAATTCAGGGTGTCCCGTAAGCACATGACCAAAAGGATACTCCGTCCAAATATTATTTGGACCAAAGATGATCTGATTTAACTTTTACTAAGAAAACATTTCTGCTCCTCTGCCATTGATGGTCAAAGATGAATTATGTATGGGTTCTTCAAAATAAAATTCTTAAAATGTCTTTAAAAAAATTATATTTTTTGAAATATCTGAAGAATGGTACGATGGATTTTAATGAAACTCGTTGCGAATATTTTGATGAATCAACCGAGTTCATCCGCGCTGGGCAAAGAAGAAATTATTGAGTGTCTGGGTTCAAAAACTACCAGAAGTTTTTATTTGGTAGATGGAATCAACTGATTTTTTGAGTTGATGCATTAATCTTTTGACATTTTTGTCCAAGTTGTTCGTGAGTTATTTGAAAAAGACCATTTGAAAAAAAATAACTTTGACCCTCTGTGTTTCTGTACCGTTGATTTTTTCCTGAGATAACTTGAGCGAAATCGTATTCTTTCCATCAAAGTAATCCCCCATTCATTTTTTTACCTATACTTATGGGTCACTCTGTATATCAGGATGTTGAATTTGTTTCAAGTCAACATCAGCTTAAAGAACACATTGCTAAAAATGCGTTTTTCATATTCAGGATCAAATGGCTAACATGACGAACGGTCAATCCTCACCTAAACAATACTCGACCCTCCAAAATGCTGCTTATGGGATCATGATGAAGGACGAAGCTGACATGGATTTGTACGAAAACAACCATTTGATGCCAACTCCGTTCAGTGGATACGATGAAGGCATGATGGTCGATATGGTAACCGGAGCAGTAGTAAGTTCATGTTCAAATTTTGAGCGCGCTTGAATAAATTTGAACTTGCGCTACTAAAATTATTTGCTTTCAGGTTGATCCACTTCAATTCTCGGGAGCTCTGAACTTTCCATCTGCTGCCGAACACGCGCTACTAGAAAGTCTTTCCGATGAGACTGACTTATCTTCATTTCTACAAAGACTACCGAATGAAGACCAATCGGAAAATGATGACATTGCTACCAGTAATGTGCAAAACAGCGGAAGTTCTCAATCTACTCAACTGCAGGTAAATAATATTTCAAACACATTGAAATTGAAAATTTTAAAACAGTTGATGCACTCTTTGTGTGTGAAAATTTACGCTCAACTGTTTTGTTCGATTTGAAATCGTTGACGTGAAAAAGTTGTTATCTAGTGGCATCTTTGAGTGAGTACCCAACTCAGACATGTTTTATCATATTAGGTTGATCAAAACATGGAAAATTTCAATGATCAGCTGCTAGCAAGGAGTCATTACGAGCCAAGCCGACCCAGCTATAATAGCTCTCAGTTCTCCAAAATCTACCAGGACTCTTTACCTCCTTACTCTTCCTCGTTAAGCTCGCAATCTGACAATTTGCAACAACAATTGCAACAGCAGCAAATCCTCTCGCCGTCTCTAAGTTTCAATGGTACGTACATTTAACGAAAAAAATTGCGAAACGAAGAGTTTTCCAACTTTTACTGTCGCTTCCAGGCAGTGGACTGGACTTGGACTCAACCTCAGGAATGTCTTTGCCTAGTCCAGGCGCAGCATCCTGCTCTTTAGATGGTGATGGTACAATGAGTCCATCAGCTGGAAGTGTGAGTTCGGGAAGGAGGGAAAATACATCTCCGGGCGAAGTGGCGAATAGCGCCCCGTCCCTGCAGGGCAGGGTAAATTTTTTGCGCCAGAGGGTAAGCAAGTTGATGAAGGCAAAAGCTCGATGTAATGCGGATTTAAAAACACACTACGATCCATTTTCGTTATTTTTCTAGTGCAAACTTGGGGTTTGTAGAAAAAAGCGTTGCCCAAATCAAACTGTTGCTTATTTTCTCATACACATTTTTGCATTTACTTAAATACACTCCAACAATTACTCCATTATAGAGTGCCTACTAGAGGTCTTCATAACATAAACATTTGATCATTTAGAGAAACTTTTTCCTTCCATCTCATCTCATTCGCGTTTATTGCTATATAAAATCGACCCTTGATGCAGTTGACTTAACTTGAAAATCACCGAACTTGTGAAATAGAATATTTAGGGCATCTTCCAATATCGATCCATCAAATCCTGAGATCAGACTTTTTTTTCATATAGATAGTACCTTTATTTCGTGACTGTTGTTCCATGCAAGCGACATGAAATAACCGCATGTTACTAATTGCGGTGTCTCTTACAGCTGGGTCTTCCCAATGATTTGCACATTGAATTTGTCAATGGAGGTCATGGCATCAAAAACCCATTGGCTACACAGGAATTATCACGACAAGGTCCAAGGAGTGAGGATAAAGCCAAAGTCGCCTCAGTTACGACTCCAGATGGTCAAACAAATTTTTGTTGTAAGGTACGCACTTGCAAAGTAAGAAAATTTCTGATGCTATTTTCATACTTTATGTTCTCGAAATAAAATACTCCTGCCTGTGATTTTACATAGAATTTAATATTTTATTTAAATGCTGGAAAAGTCCAGTTTAAGTAGGCACAAATGAAAAGAATCAAATCAATATTAAATGAAAATGACAAAAAAAGAAATAAAAACAGCTGCTAATAACGGACAAACAAAATGATCAAAAAATATCTGTTTATATATTTGCTACGTGAATCAATTTTGAGACGCTTTTTGCTGTTTTCAGATCTGCAATAAGACGTTCGCCCTTCAGCGACTCCTCAATAGACACATGAAATGCCACTCGGATGTTAAACGGTATCTCTGCTCATTTTGTGGCAAAGGATTCAACGACACGTTCGATCTCAAAAGGCACACTAGAACACATACAGGTACAGTAAAAGGGAACTATAATTTTAAAACCGTCTAAGCAAGTTCAGATATCGAATGAAGCCAATGTTAGTTTAATTGTCTTTTTGTTGAAACATTGATGATTCCAACAATCTAAGCAATATAGCAAACCATCTTTGGGTATATTCACGAGGCTCAAACGTTCTGTTGATGGTTTTATTAAATCAAGACACTAATAATAATTTATCAACATTCAGGTGCTTCTTAAAATAGGACAAAATTGTTTCGAATTTTTTCTTCTCTCTATTTTTATCGAAGTGTTTTCAGATGGACAATCCATGGCTCACGATGAAACAAACTAAAAGAACTTTACAAGTATTTTCTCATTTATCAGTAAAATACGCCTATTTTTGTGGGCTTTTTGGTCAATAGATGGTGGCAAAAATAAAACACTATTTTTTAATCACGGTCACTAACCACAACATTCTCATTTACCTCAATTTTAGGAGTCCGCCCATACAAATGCGCTCTATGTGAAAAGTCGTTTACACAGAGATGCTCATTGGAATCACACTGTTTAAAAGTCCATGGAGTTCAGCATGCGTATGCTTATAAAGAGCGTCGAACAAAGGTATGTTGAACAAAGTCGTTGACAAATTTAAGTATAAATAATCAACAAATTTTTACGAGTAGAAAAAAAAGCAGACACCAAATAAAATTAAAATGTTACTATATAAATGCGATTTTATTTCAGATGTACGTTTGTGAAGAATGTGGTCACACAACTTCCGAACCAGAAGTTCATTATGTGCATCTAAAAGATCAGCATCCCTATAGTCCAGCTCTGCTCAAATTCTACGATAAAAGGCATTTTAAATTTACAAATTCCAATTTTGCTAACATGCTACTCCAGGTTCGAACATAACATTTTAATTAGTTGTTAGCTAGTTTTCCTAACACTAGACAGTGAGTCAGTACCTATATATAGGTATATACATATATATACAGTAGAGTAATATTTGTATCTAATTATTATAAAATTTCCTAATATTTTAGTGAAGTTGAAATATGTGTGTCAATGATGATGTGATAATGTCTGGTGACCATTTAAACACACTATGATGTAAGTTGTAGACTTGAACTAATTGTTGGGAGTGTAGTTAAGGGATTAATGTTGGAGTGAATTTACACATCATTTTCATATTCCTTATAGCTAGAAAATGGGGCCCCAATTATGCCAGGACAATATCCAAGACCGTTCTTTCCAGACGGGCCTTTTGAACATTTTCCATGGGCATAGAAGAGTGCTAAAACCAATATCAACCTCATCCTGATTACATAAGTTAATTTAAATCAGGAAAACCTCAAATAATTTCATACTAATTTCCGCGTATTCAATACCGCAGTTTTATGACAACCACCAGATAAATTGTTGTCGCTTCCGTTACCACAAAAATTACAGGGTGACAAATACACACAATATTACAAAATTACATGAAGATTGCCGTTATTCCTCTTAAGGATTCTCTGGGGCATATTTGGGCAACAAAACATAAATGGCATAAATAGTTTTGCATTCGAGATTTGTTGTTTGCAAACATTTGGTTTAAGTCACTTTTTGTTTGTACTTCTCATATTGCCCCAATAGTCAAGACTCCCATAAAAAGCTTTAAAACTCCATCTAAGGACTATACTCACAATTGTTTGTTATGATTGATATAAGCAGAAATATTTATTTAATTCAGGAATTTAAGATTGAGAGAATTGTTTTCGGTCAATAGATGGATACTTGGTGCAATAATCAGTCAATTAACAGTATTTTTTGTCGATCTCTACATGTAATTTGCAAAATAACGCAATAACATTATTTATGTTATTTATGCACTACATTCACATTAATTTTCAGAAATATACATTTTTCAGAGCAACAATTTGTCTGGCTGCGGTAGGTCTAAACTGTAATATGCAAATTATTCAAAATCTTGCAACACATTTACACTTACGTTTACATACACAAAACATTCACACATTTACAGTGGAAATGAACTAGTACACATAGAAAAATGTATGACAGCATGTTTAATTATTTTATTCATACATATTTTCGAGTGTGTGATTAGTCTTCAAAACTAGTTGGAAACGTTTTTTTTTTCATGGGAAAACTAAATTATATGGTTGTGAAAATCTAGATCATCGTATATCCGTGAATATGGAAAAAAATCATTGTGTATATCATATCTTATGTACATTGACTGCTAATTGTTGCTCTTTTTTCACATACAACGACATTCCATATTATTTTTATAGTTTTTGCACACTAAGTTGCAAGCGACTGGCTAATTAATCTAATATTGTAGTCATTAATATCCGCCCAGTTGAAGAAAATATTTAAATATTTTTACAATTTTTACTTGTTTCTTCTAGTTGGAGGGTTAATTATCTAATTTAATTCTTCTGTGATAATTTAATTACTTTTAATTCCCTCGAGTAGTTTTTTTAGTAGTAGTTAGTTTTAAGAAATGGTGACCTAGAAAAGAAGAATTCCGCACCAGATTTTTACATTGCGATTGGTTGGCGGTAAGGGCCGCTTAGTTAAATATACCATTGCGAGACATTCTTTACGGTCACCAATTTATAGATAATTCATAAGTTAAGCAAACGAAACAGTGACAAGCAAAAACTATTTTTGATTTGACTACTTAATACCGAAATGCTTGAAATAGGTGAGCGTTAGCAAAACCGGAAAAATTGGTGGAATTTTTATGATTTATTCATGGGCAAATTCGATTTTCGGGAAATTAAGCAAAATTGAAGAAAGAACTATTGAGAAGACAAAATCAATTAATTTTTGCTTGTCTTTGAAAATATAATTAATATTTACATCATAATTGACTGGGAAAGCATAAAATGGATAAATGCTAGCTAAGTCAATAAATACATTCGGGTTATTTGTGCAATCATGGTGATCGGAACTAGGTAATAAACTTAGAAATAGTTTACTTAATACATAATTACCTAACGGTCCTGAATATCACACTTACTCATCATGGAACAAATTTCAAGCTATTTATTTTTCATACTTACCTTGAAGTGCGTTCAATATCTACTTCTTCTCTCTCTCCTCTTCGATCTAGTCAATAGATTGTTACGTTATGGGGTGTATTAAAGTTTTACGAAGCCCAGGACGCAATAATGTATTTTTTTTATTCGAGTTTGCGGGGTTCTGTCAATGTTGCGGCCCAGGGGTACAGCCCCTGCAAGCCCCTCTTTTAATCGCCCCTGTGTAGTCCAATGGTTCGCAATCAGATTCAATTGAGTTCTGCTACGCTGATAAATTTTTTATTTTATACTGAATTGTTTTTATTATATTATTTTCCTTCCTGTTTTGAAATAATATAATTTATAAAGCGTTAAAACATTCATTACTTCTTGAGGAGAAAAAGTTCTTTTTTTGGGAGAGCAAAACATTAGATCAAAGAATCTCTGTCTTGCTGTCTTGAAACCTCAAATTTGAGACCTTCGAATTATTGTCTAAACAAACAAAACAACTTTTTTCCTCAAGAACTAATGAATGTTTTAACGATTTATAAATTACACTTTTTGTACAACAGATTTTAATTGTAAATTGGTGTTTGTAGTTTGCATGAATTTTAAATCTGATGGCGCTGTGGTCTCGCCGAAACGTTATGAAATTAACGTTATAAAAAAAAATATTTCACACTTTGACTGAAACCCAGGAAGGAAAAGAATATAATAACAATTACACGCAGTCAGGAAAATAAATCGAAATGTTCTTATACATTGGAATACAAATAAAGTGTATGGAAACAAAGTGGAGCATCAAATGAAAAATTGAGCAGACATTTTTAAAGATCCAATATTTCAAAATCGATTTGACTTAAACCAAAGACACATGTTTTGCTGAGAAATGTTGGAGAACGAGTTATTGCAATCCAAAAGACGATATTTTAATGGCCAAAAAAGATTTAATGTTTTCAAAGGCTCTAGCTCTGGGAAATTTGAATTCCGCGATCTGAAACACTTTCAAGCACATTTTTTCCGTAATTGCAAAACTGGTTAAAAATATATTTAAAATGTTTTTCTTTACAATCTGACACCCTGTACCTCGCAAACTATTACCACCTATTACTGTTCGCATAAGAGAGATTTGCCTAAAACGCAATATTTTTGCCTAGACAATCTGGCGATGAACTTTGTCAAATTAGTTGGAGACCACCCTGCATAATCGAAACACGTTTTTCTATCAGATGCATCACAAACATAGTACATTGTCTTCATTTGCGTTTGCCTTTATCTAGGGAATGTCAACCAATTCTAAGGAACTGACTCTATTTTAAGACTCTATATTAAGTTGAGTCGTGTAAGAGTCGCGACTGAGCTGCTCTTTACCAAAAAACGTTACACGTTCGACCGCCGAAATTGCCTTATCCGTAAAGAAACAAAAGTAAGTGACGATTCAATTAATTTCGTTGCAGTTTATAATTTTTTTGGTTTAATTAAATTAATGGATCGTCGTTAGTGCGGCTTCCGTGCGACTTTTCCCCTAATCCACAGTTTTATCATTCAAATATATTATTCACGTCATTTACGGAAATAATGAAAATGTTTCTCAAATATTTACTCTGATTACTACTAGATTGAATGTTGAATTTCCTAATGCATAGGCAGTCAAATTACACATGCAAATAAATATTTGGTAATAATTCTATTTGCAGAATTTTCTGCTCGGTTACTGCACTGTTTTAACACTTCTCTTCTTCTCCGTCAAGTTTAATCAAGTTTGTTTTTTCATTTTCCAATTAGTCGATAGTTAGGTATGGTTTTTCAAAGTTATGTTGTAAATACGAACATTTTATGCGCGTGCACAAAGAAATGTGTGTTTTAAGGAATCTCATAGATTACCGATATTCCATTTTAATTTGTTTAAGTACATTTTCTACCTTAATTCATTGAATTGACATTATTAATTGCATTTTTATAAAACGCTAAACCAGTTATGTACCTACATGAGCTTATCGAGCGCGTTTGCTAGTGAGCCTGTGTGATGTTGACTATGTCCTAAATAAATTTAATCTGTTTGTTCAGTATTTTTAAGAATAAGAATAATTAGTTCTTAATTAATATTAGTGTTTTGGTTAAGAAGTAACCGGAATCATAATCAGATTTCTGGTGCTAGTTTTTTAACAGTAATGAAGTTGATATTTAAATTTATAAAGTCGGTATTTATATAACTGATATTAACGAATGTAAGTGTATTTAAGCATCAGACCAATATAGCTGTATGTTGCTTATGTTGTTATGCAAGAATATTTTATATAATTAAGAGTAGTTTTCTTTCATTCCACTTAACACTCACAATTTAACATATTCATACACACATGGTGTCCAGGAAAGATGTGCCAGCTTTGAAGCTGAAAGTTGGAGATTTTCGATTCCTTTTTTGGGAGATGAGATTGATGCATTTCATCAATTATTTGAGATGGCTACTCACTAGACTCTTTCTTGGCTTTCACTCATTTTTAGCTTTGGCGCCTGTTGGTTGCTTTTTGTTGTTTCTTAGATATTCTTTGTTGTTACACAATTTCAGGATTGAAATCGTTTAATCAAATTAAAAATAATCAAGTGTTCCTAATTATAATTAAAATTGAAGCAGAAGTTAGAATTTTTCGCGTATTATCCACCAACAAGTTTGAAAGCATAGAATTATGAACAGTTGCAAAACTGGAAGTTTGTGAATGTTGGTATCGAAATAATTCTTATAATTCAGATATTTTTGCCCAGTTTCTAAGTTAAACGCTTACGCTTTTACATTTTTATGGCTTTGCTTCTATCGCTTTAGGCATGAAGAATGAATGAAGAAGGAAACGTAAAAAGTGTAATACAGTTCTTAAAATGGGCTACCGAAAAACGAATTGGACATTTCGAACCGGTTTCCATATATGCATGTTTTTAACCTTTACCTGTTTCTATCGCTTTAGGGGGTAAGAATTTCTCATCAAACCGGATTAGTGAAAAACAGCCCTTGATAAAGATTCGTTGCGATTTCTTCCAGTTTTTGTAACAAAATAAAGTTTAATTTAATTTTTTTAGTTTTTCTTAACGGGTTCAATCTGAATCGAAATTATCTTTGCTCATGTTAGCTTGATTTGTTGGGAAATTGATGGAACGCCATTGAATGAATTTACTTAAAATCTTTAAAACTGTGCATAATTCAGGCTAGTAGTTAATTAAAAGCGCTCAGCGTCTAGCAACATCGACAAGCCATCCGGAACTCCATAGTGCTCTACACCATTAAAGTATTTTAGAATATTTGACTATAAACGCTTTTAAACTTCACCCGAAATTCACCATTACTTCAGAGTTTACTTGAATTCACAGCTCCGGGAGATTATTGATAAGTAACGCAAATTACATTGCCTATCTATCGAGTTTTTCTTTTAAATCGCAGTTATTTTGTGATTAACCTACATATCTAAAATAGTAGGGGACGCCAGACTATTTTGAACATTTTATAAATAAACAAGTTGAAAATTTTGTCCACCCGGTTTTTGAACTACATTGCATTCTCCTGTATTTTACTTTAAAGTATATTCAAGTTCCTCTAGATTTCCGAAGTAACTGTTTGTTAAAAACGCTTCTGTGCGGATTTCAAAAGGCAAAAGCTTAGTTAAGAACATTTCAACTGTTTTTGAACAAGCTTTGTTACACTGGCAGATAATTGAACGGAGTTCAATAAGAAATATTCTATAAACGAGCGAAAAGCTAATATCAAATCAAATAGAAGAATTGATGTCCACTGTAGGCGCACGTCCCCTATTTACTCGCTTTTCTGTACGCTATCTTACTGGTTCCAATTTAAGCGGGGTTCAGTGCGTTCATTGCGAAGAACACACTGAAGACAGTGTATCGATCGGTTCGAAACCAGGTGCATCGGGCAAATAAGGTAAGAAGTAAGAACGTTCTTGGTAATTCAACACTTTCAAAAAAAAGTTCAATCACGCAGAATGAAAAAATTATTCTTGAAAATAAAGGTTTTGCAAAAACGATTCAATTATCCAATGTTTTTTCAAATCCATTAGAGGCCGCATGGTTGGTTTACTCCAGAAATAATTCCATTTTGCTATCCACTGAGTTCCTATTTGTGTTCACTTTAAGAACCGAATTTAGTTCCACGGTATTTTTACGAACCAGCATTTAAATTAGCAGACTAACCGAAATGCGAATAAAATGTGAAACCGTAATAGAAATGTATGAGTAGAAAGAATTTTACTACCGTACACATTCCACCATTTGGTGGCAAATTTCCGGGTTTTTTTCAGTAAATGTAATTATTAAATAATATCTAGAGCGTCTAAAACAATAATAATGGCAGCATATGAGGATAAAAAATCAAAACCCCATTTAGCAAGTACTTAATGATTTGCTGATCGTTGAAGACTTTTTGAATTGTGTTTGTTGTCACAACGCATGTTGTGAATATTAAGATTTGTGGAAGTAGATTACTGTAAAATTACTCTTAGTGAAGATGTCATCAACGGAAGAAGTAGAAGAACTGGTTTGGGTATCTCCCCTAAACACGGAATTCGTTACGCCTGGAGTTGAGAAGAAATGCCCTTGGTCAAGATTGGGCGCATCTGACAGAAGCTCGCCCCATTCCAAGCAAGATTGGTAAGCTTGCTGTTATAAATTGAAAATCCATGTCTGGATAAAGAAAGGCAACTTATTTTCGTCTTGTTAGGAAGCCAAAGTATCCCAAAGGAGTTTATCCTGATGTGTTGAGCATGATAGGAAACACACCTATGGTTAAACTAAATAGGATCCCACAAAAAGAAGGACTCGAGTGCAACATTTGTAACCGCCTATTCAGAAATAGAAAGCTTACGCTAACATCGAAACATTTTTAGATGCGAAATGCGAATTTCTCAACCCTGGAGGATCAATCAAGGACCGAATGGTGAAACGAATGTTTGAAGATGCTGAGAGACAAGGTCTCCTTAAACCTGGAATGGTTATCATCGAACCATCCTCCGGAAACACTGGCATTGCGATTGCTACCGTTTCGGCTATTAAAGGTGAAATTAAAACGGATTTTAAAGTTTTTTATGGCTAGTTTCCTACTTCGTAGGCTACACATGCATCATTGTCATGGCCGAGAAAATCTCCAATGAAAAGGAAGCTGTTATTACTGCGCTCGGAGCTACAGTTTGTAGAGTGCCAGTATTCGAAGACTCGTTCAGCAGAAATGGACTTTTTGGAACAGTGAATCGATTACGCAAAGAAATTCCCAATTCTTTTGTTTTCGATCAGGTTAGAAACATTAGTAAATATTCAGACCCCTAAACTGAAACGCATTTTTTTTAATGTAGTTTAATAATCCTGGAAATCCCCTTACGCATTATGATACCACAGCGAATGAGATTTTACACCAGCTGGATCACAAAGTGGACATGGTTGTAAGTTATGTGCGTTCTAAATTAAACTTTTTATGAATTCTGATATCTATATTTTGCAGGTTTTTGGTGGCGGTACCGGAGGTACTATCACAGGTGTAGGCCGGAAGTTTCGAGAAGTTTCTCCAGAAACCGTACTTGTGGGATTTGATCCTGAAGGTTCCAAGTTTGCTTTTCCTGACAGTCTCAATTCGCATCGCAATACATTTTGGGAAATCGAAGGTATTCATATTTTAAAGATACATTCAATTATCAAAATTAGTGGCTTTTTCATTAATGTTAGTTATTTTTGTTAATCTAGGTATTTGGTCATATTTCAGCAATCTGAATATTGCCCCTGTTTAAAACATGTAAAACATTTAAATAATTGTTAACAAAATTAAATTGAATCAAATAATAATTTTCCTGACTTCAGTTAAAATGCGCCAGCTCATAAGTGCGAGTCCAAAATCAATTTTTTTCGCAGATAATTGACATAAACAAACAAAACTGTCAATGAAAGGCTCTGCAAATCAGCAGAGTCGCGATAAGCTTTTTGAAATAGGCAAGTGCAGATTTCGGAATGCGCCAACCTCAGGCACCCCCAGGACCGGTTTCGAGCCTATAACCTCTCATCAGCTGGGTTCAGCCTGAAATTAGCGATTCCGAAACCTGCACTTTATAATGCCAATGTATGCACATCGGTGCAGGTTTCGGAATAGTTAATTTCAAGCTGAACCCAGTTGATGAGAGCTAATGCGCTCGAAACCGGTCCTGGGGGTGCCTGAGGTTGGCGCATTTCGAAATCTGTACTTGCCTATTTCAAACAAAACTAAATTTGTGGTCAGACTTTCGCCTTCTCTACGTGCCATTTGGCTGATATTTTGCAGCGATAAACTACTAAGAATAGTGCTCAAATCGAAAGGTGACCTTAGCTCAACTTGGTTATCTTATGATGCCACATTGAGAGTTCATTAAAAATTAGACCGAGTTAATGGCTGCTTAAGATTAACGCAAATCAATATGAAAACAATAATAATGATGCAGATATTTTATGAATCTCGAAGCAAACAGGCCAATGCACTCGCTAAAAGAGTAAGGAAATGGAAAAATCCCAAAAATGTATTAATTAATTTTTGCGAACCTGTGAAAGATAGGAGCAAAAACCCGCAACCAATTTGCATTTTCCAGGACAAGTAGGGAGAACGAAGAAAAGTTGAGTCTCGTAGGAATTGTAGCAAATAAATTCAATTTTAAAGTTAAAATTACTGAAACATCGGAAACGGCTAAAACATAAAATTTTTGATATTTTAACAAAATTTTTATTGTTCAAAGTTCTGTAAAAGCTACTTAATGAGATGAATTCGTAAGACTGGACATTTTATGAGAACCTAGTTGGCTGGTAGAGTCTTTCAAAAAAAAACCTTCTCAAAATATTAATTCTTTAACATGGGGAATGTTTTTTTTCGTTTTGTCTCCTCATAGTTTGAATATGATTTCATATTTTTCCAGTTTGGTGAGATGTTTCAACTTCAACCACAAAATATGTTTTGGTCCAGAAGGACGGATTCAAATAAGCTCAGATCAGACTTGGTATTTTGTAAAAAAATATTTTGCTTCTAACAGTATCTTCTGGCTAGGTTAAGATACTAGAGCTTCATAGTTTACTTTAATATTTGAAGCTTAAAATTATTAGTTGATATAGTTTCTCATCTGCCGCGCTAACATCCATTAAATCGGAAGCCTTGCAACTTCCATATCCCCATGTTACATTCTGATCCGCTCTTTTCTATTTACACTGTATGCTTTATTCTGATGAAAACAGAATCTTATTGGTAGCGAAAGGCTGCTCTGTTACTCTTGGTCTCGAAGTCTTTCGATAGAGTTTCAACTTAATATTTATATAGATTTTCTGCTAGAGATATAGTAAGTGTTATCCTTAGGCTGTCCTAAGCTGCTCTTTAAATTGTTTTGATATCCTCTGATATTTTATCTTTCTATCTTTTTTCTGGACATCTAGTACTACCCCCTTGCATCCGTTCGTCTTTCATCGACTAATTCGGAGTGGATTCTTTGCGGAATTATCTTTAAGTTCTTCGGATTAAAATTGTTACATATTCTGCATCATTATAATAATTTTTTTCACCAGCATTTGTTATTTTTCAGGAATTGGATACGAATTCGTGCCTGGGGCTCTGGATCAATTGGTGTGCGATTACTGGATTAAAATTAACGATAAAGAATCGCTTCAAATGGCGAGAAGGTTGATACAAGAAGAAGGATTGCTAATTGGTATAAAAATTAATATGCGTTAAATTTCCGTAGTTATAATTGGAAATTTATGTAGGTATGAGTTCAGGGGCTGCGGTGGCCGCGGCCGTCAAAGCAGCAAAACATTTGAAGAAAGGAGACAACGTTGTAGTTTTCATGGCAGATAGTATTAGAAATTACATGACTAAATTTGTCTCCAATACCTGGATGCAGGCCAAAGGGTTCCAGCCATGCTTAAATCCCCACAACTTTTGGTGAGTTCTCCACAAAATATCCGATCATTCGGCTGAAATCACCACATGGATTTAATAAATGAACATCTGTTAAGTTATTGCGTCTGCTTCATATTTAGGTGGTGGGATTTGCCGGTTTCCAGTGTAAAATGTTCAGAGCTACTGGTGCTGAATGCATCAGTTAGTTTACAGTATGCTTTGGGACTGATGCAAGTAAAAAGAAAGGAGGTAGCTGTAGTTACTTCACCTGACGGGTGAGAAAAATTTATCGAGATACAATATTATATTGTTTATCGGGTTATATTCTAACCAATTCTCGATAAATTGCTAACTTTAAACTCGATAATTTAGATTTGCTGTGGGTCTAATTACGGCTGATGGTATGAGAAATAAAATCATCAGATACAATATGCCCCAAACAACGCCGGTAGAGAATTGCATGATTGGAATAGTGCCATTTTTAGAGAATAGCTCAACTTTAGGCCGTGCCTACAGAATCATTGAAAAAGATAGATATGCATTGGTCGTAAGTGCGATAGGTAGGTGAATAGTAAGATATATTATTCTACTTCATAATAATTGTACTGTAGTTTGAAAATTTAATTCCTCAATTAATCGAATTCACTAATTTGCAGATGAAGAATACAAATCCATTGGGGTCCCGTTAAAACTGATTACCGGTGAAGATTTGTTTGCTTTCATTTCAAAGAGGCCTTTGTAAGTAAGATATATATGTAATCTTATTTGCTTATATGTTATTATTAGAAAAAATTAATATTCAAATAGCAGCAGATAATAAAAATTCACTTCACAAAAATTGGTGTCTTATTTATCTCGTCATACCTGAACTTTTCCTTAATTAATTCTCATTCTAGGGCGATTGTCAAATTTGAAATTTTACTTAAATATGATATTTTTTATTTCGTAATTATTTTAAGTAAAGTATTATTTACTCTTTAAAAATACCGTTGCTCGTCCAAAGAAATATTAGCAATAATAAGTGTTGTCCACATATTTATTGCGTACTATTAAAAAATCTAATCATGTCGTGGGAATTCGCTCAATGGAATTTTAACTTTGCTATAATGATCCGTAGATAATAGCGTTGAATCAAATTTATACTTGGTTGGTCTGAAAGGCCAAAGCATAATGAAGAATAATTTTAATTTTTGAACGTGAAATTTACAATTGCTTAAAACCAGCTAAGGAACCGACTTATTCTGAAGGAAGAATCTATCCAGTAAACTACATTTAGTCCAGACGTTTTAATTAAGAAGATATTCTATTGAAGCAATATAATTTATCAGCTATTTACAAGGAGCGACCATTTTAATAATTAATCATTCCTCGAACTGAATATTAGTAACATGATTTCATCACAATAAAGTTGTTATCTATGATCGTATATTTACTTTAAAAAATGTTTATTATCAGCCTCACTATTGCGAGTCGGTATCTAATTTGTTTTAGTTCATGCCGCATCACCAAGTGCTTTGCTTTGTATTCGTATGTGAAATGAAATTTATATTTGAACAAATGCGATTATTCGGTCTATATTTAATAAAAGAGAACCTTTCAATGCATACATACCTGATCACATTCATTCTTAAGTATATTTGGCCACAAAAATCAAATATATTTAGTACAAATTATTTAGATTTTATATTGCGATTTAGGCGATGCTTTAAAAAGGTCTAAAATTTTCGGTAGTAAATTTATTTCATATCGCTTTATTTGTGCCGACAAATAGATAAACATTGCTACAAACATATTACATGTACAAAACTATACAAAAGCGTATTGGCATGAGGTTGTCGTTACAAAGTTGTTACTTTAAATTGATGATCTTAAAAAATTACTTGAAGAACTTTGCATTAATTATTGCCAATAATTTCAGGTAGAAAAATAAGTATTAGTGAATTATTCTCAAACCAGTTAATTTGAATTTATATTGAAACAAAATTCGATGTAACTGATCTATTAAAGGAATTTTCAATATGGATTTCAGCTAAAGTAGTAGGAACAGAGAAGAAAATATAATTTTGAACACTATAAATTATACAGAGTGAATCAATGTTCACCTTATTGAAAAACAATTTAGATCCCTTCTGAACCGAAATAATTCCACTTTTGACCGATTTTGACCAATTTTGTGTTTTTTTAAGGTGATTTTTGGTTGAAAAATGGAAAGGTACAACCTGCAACCCCTTTAGATGTTTTTTTTTTGATATACTGAATTAGCTCAAAATTCTTCAAATTTTAGACGACTTTCATACAGCGAGTTCAGAAATAGGCACCCAAAATCATTTTGCAGGTGCAGAAAATATTTCTTTGGATTTTACTTTTGGCAGTGGTCGTAGTTCAAAAAACCATTAAAATATGTTGAAGGTATCCTTTAGATTAATATTATGGCATCTAATGCTACATGAGAGTAATAGTAGGTACGAAATATCAAATTATTTTATAATTTTTTGACTTCTCAAGGATCCACGTTTTACCAGGCAAAGAATTGTCGAACACTTATGGGACACCATGTATATGCATATTTCGATGCAAGTTTCTTAGCTCGAAACTTATCTATTAATATCAAAAGATGCACTAGTAAAAATTCGATTTTTGATCTAAAATATCAGAAGGTTAACAACATTTAAATTTCTCAAAAATATTTGCAAGCAAATGGTCAGTGCTGCTGAATTATTCCTGAATAGTAAAAGAAGGCAAAAAATATTACCTTGTACGTTTTCTGGTCGTTTACATTATGCGGAAATGTGTGGATCCTTATAGGTAATTTGTGGTAAAACTTGAAATCAATAATCGAAAAACCAATAGGAGCTGTGTGGAAAAGCCGGACAAAAATTCTAAATGTTTACATCCAACTAAGTCGCTTTATTACATGCTAAAGTCTTGCTAGTATTAACTGACTCACCTTGTATACTTAGATAGAATGTTAAAATAAAATAAAAAACAATGTGATAATTAAAGGAAAAAACCGTTAGCAAAGAATAATCAACAACAACACATTCAAAAACGACAATTTCAATAATGGGAAATAAAAATAGAACTGTAAAATTAATAATCTGAAAAACAATATCTAAATGTTCTACAGTAGTGCTGTTCTCTATCATTGCTCACACTTCGTTGAACAAATTTCCCGCTTAGTCAGACGAGTTTCTACTATTATTAAGCCGAACAATCGCTAACAGCAATATATCCAGAATGGTGGTTTGAAGACTAAATTTTTGTTCCATCTTCATACTTGATTTTTTGCAACTTTATACAAGTCTGTAATTTCCCAAATCAAAAACAAAATCCAGGTATCCTTAATAAAGTGAAATTGAATGCCACCTGAAATGAAACAATTCCGAAAAATGTGTGTCACAAGTAAAATACATGTAAGCCATCCCAGATAACATAATTAACCTTATCTAGCTGATAAGTAATTATCGACTTACAGATCAGGTCGAGCTATCTGAACAAACAGGTTGAATTTGTGATACCTTATGGTGGCAGTGTTTCAGTAATTTGTCGCTTCAGTTCCACCATGGAACTCAGATTTTTGTTAGGGGTAGTTCTTTTAGTGTTGTGCGCTAGTACATTGGGACAAGAAGATAATGCAGAAAACACAAATTCGGACAGTGATGTAGAAGCGGTGCCTGGTGTGCTTGCAGACGCAGGTGATTCTGATGGTCAGCCTGTACCTGCGGAAGGTGATCCTGGAACTGGAGGTGACCAAGGAACAGATACAAATGTCGATCCCAACTATGGTAGGTCTGCATTTTAATTAAATTGTTACTGTGAAACTGATAGATTATTTTGGAAAATGGGTGTGGCCCGGGGTGTGTTTTTGTATTACAGTAAAATGGGGAAACTTGATTATTTGTATATTTGTAAAGTGGGTACCAAGGCGCTTTCAGTGTTAAAAAACTGACTTCGTGAAGTTGAAGTTAGTCATAATTGCGTTCTTTGTTTCGCAGCTAAGCCCCTTATCGGATATAGTTGCTTGCTGGTGAATCACTTTTTTATCTCCTTACACCTCTAGGTACTGATCGATATTATATCTCCAAGCTTAGGGTTTCGCCACTACGATTTACGCTGGTGAGAAAAAATGCCTTGATAATTTAAAACGAAAAAATGCATGCGAAAACTGAGCAGTTTCCTGGTTTTGTTGGCTTCAACTGATTACTTCCTTTCCATTGACAGATTCTTTTTCTTACGTTTTATTGCCGAATGCTTTGGGTGCTTGGCCACATACAAGCCACATTCCTACGGAAACATCAATTAAAGTTGTTTCAGTAATTGATCTAATCCTAATCACTGTTAGCAAGTTTTCAGACTTGAAGATACATTTTACCTATTCTGTTTCATGCTAAATAAAACTGCATTGAGTCTTATTGTGAAACTATATGAAACACTCCTTGATTGCATCCAAATCAATTGGCTCGAGATAAAGCTTTCATAGGAATGACGTTGGCAAACTCAATATTGCAAAATGTACTAATCACTGTTTAATGATAGCAAGAATCAATGTTTCCTACTTTAGAATAATAGAGTAATTGTCCTTCTTCTCCAAACTTTCAACCACTTTTGAGCAGTCCTTGTAACTAACCATCTTCATCTAATTCTCAAAGCATAATCTATCAGTATTCCATATTTTCATTTCAGGTATTTTGTCGGCAGCCATAACACATAACTAATACTATTATTAAGTTCCGATATTAATTGCCTCATTTGCGACTACTAACAATGTTACACTGTACATAACGCGCTTGTGTTTGTTGTAGATGAATCTGTAGATCCTCCCGTTCCTATTCCTGAAAATAGCGAGTCTAACGATTCAGAGAATGCGGCAGAAGTAGGCGAAGGCGAGGCCGCTCCTGTAGACGACTCTTCATTACACACGGGGCAAAAAGTTCTTCGTATGGGCCAATATGTCATTTATTATGACCCTGATTACGGTCAGTACTTTGTAATTTGTGTTCGGTTGCCTTAAATATGGCTTTTTGTCTGTTTGATGATGCATGTTGGAAAATTTAGAGAGTTTTCAGGGAAATTTAGGTTCAATTTTCGGATTCTAATTGTCCCTTGAAGTGTTGCCTCATGTTCCAAAGAACTACTGTTACTCAATAGATTTTCTATTTATTTGTACTTTCTTAAAAAGCTCGTTAATTCTTTGAGGGAATGCACAATTTTTAAGCTTATCTTCACTTTCGCTTGCGCCACTTTATTTTACCAAGTTTCCAACAGTACATAGTTTGTTCAATCAAGGTGCTCCAACTGCGGTTTAAATACATTGCCAAACCAGCTTGGTTTTGTTAGTTTTGTGGTAGAGATAACAGGTGTAATTTACTACCTGCGCTATCTACATATTTAGGAAACAAAATGAGTCACGTACCTATGCGGATTAGTGAAACTTGCACAATGACTCATGATGACAAACTCTTAAAAAAATGTAATTGACCATTAGTGAAGAACTTGATCGGAACCTTTTCGCGTTTGATGTCATAAGAATTGATCAATCTTTTTTTTGATTAATTAACAATTATTCTAATTTTCCAATGCATTTTTGGTATGGTATGCAATTGCTTCAATGTGCAGTTGAATTTATCTAAAGAAATTCAAATTTTGCTCCGGCTTTAATTGTTCAAAATGAAGCAATTTGAGAAATGGATGATGCAGATTAACTTTGTAAGCAAATGTGTGATAATACTTACTCTGAGAAGAGGGGACATAAAGTCAATGAAACATCTAATAAATTAAAGTAAAATATACAAATTATTTTTTTTTATTACTATTTCATTATCATACAATTAGCGTATTTTACTGATTATTCTCCAAACCGATTGTTGTTGCAGCTGATTAATTAAAACGAAAAGAGTAATTGAAATTAATGGGAATACACAGCAAGAAAGAAATACAATTTAATCCCCTTCCCTATTTTTATGGGTTTACTAAATAAAAAGAGGAAGTAAGAAAATGTTTCAATTTAACACAAATGTTAAATAAAAAACAATAAACTAGGAACAATAAACAACTTACATTACAACTAAATGTAATTTGACCGGCCGTGAAAGCCTTCATAGTCTGAGAATAAACAACTTGGAAAGAAGCAACTGAAAATCAGGCGGAAAATATGTGTTTATCTTTGAATAAGGAAAATTGTACATTTTTCATTCAGTCATTAAGACATTAAAAAAATCAGTTAAAAAAATGTGGTGGTTTTTCTTTCGTTTGGGGTTGAAATTCCACCCCCGGGCCTCGTAAAGGTTTAATTTTCAAAAATGAATTTCTCAGAAACAAAAAATATTCTACGAGTTCAGAGTTGTGCGTTCAGTAACGAAGAGCTCTAAATGTCGTCAAAATTCCTTCAAATCTTCAAAAGTTCATTCAAATGGCATGAAAGCCTGAATTTTGCGCGCTTAGTAAATGTTGATGAGAGGGAAATTTAAAGAATCCATAAAACTTCAGTTGCTTATCGATAAACTAAACTCAGTTGAAGCGAAAAGATTTATAGATTAGAGATCATCCTTACCAGCTTTTTGCAACTGACGCCCTATCCTCCATTTTCTATCCAGTAAGCCCGTGTCCCATGCATCCGTTTGTACGATGATACGATGATACGAAAGTGTTTCTATTGGTTCTTGTTGGAGATCTGTCAGTTCGTACAACGACGGACGAATTGACAGATCTCCAACCAATAGAAACACTTTCGTATCATCGTATCATCGTACAAACGGATGCATGGGATATTTCCCATCTAAGAATGCGATTTTATTCGCCGATTTCGTCCACTGTCGGTAGCAAACTGAACATTCATACCCTTTTTTGGGAAAAAAAGACACCGAACTACAGAATAAACACGATTATTTAATAATTTAATAGTTCGCCCTTCCGACGATTCATCATTTACTTGGTAGTTCGAGTTCAGCTTGTTTATTCTGGCCATTTTTGTAGAAAGTGCCTGTTCGCATCGCAGTAGTTCCAAAGACAAATTTCACGTTCCAACTTAACGAAAGTCAACAACAACTAAACGAAAAACTCTCCAAATGCCGATCTTACACTTATTTAGTTTTGAACTTCGAGCCATTTATGATATGAATTTATGGTATGAATTTCACTCAGCTGCAGTGATTAATGCACAACGCCAAAACTTAATACCTGAATTAATTTCGTTTTTGTAAAAATATTGACTAACCAAAAAACCGCGAAGAAATCACTTAAAAATGTAACTGTTGCTGAATGTCCGATTTTTTGAACTAATAAAAAATGTCCTTTAAAAGTTCTGATCTGAAGAATTATCCCGCCACAAGATCATTTAGAGGTGCGATGAGTTGTAACTCATAAAAGCACAGAGCGGCACCAACTCAAAGGCGCAAGTCAACACAGTGTTACCCAGAACTTGACTTGGATTGAGCAAGTTGGTTTAATAAATGAAGAGAAGAGTAGGCTTACGTCGATGCTCATATATTCTAATGTTCGTGATCAAATTATGCCAAAAAACAGCAATTCCTGGGAAAAAACTTGCAACAGAACATTTTCAGGTCGCGCATTTGTGATGCGCGACCTGGAAGACCTTCTTTTTGTTCATTGGGCATTTAAAATACCACTTAATGCCATTTTTACTTGTTAATTTACCTTGTCCACGTCGCTTCATGCTCATATGAAGTTTTCTGTTTACTTTTCAAATAGTTTCCGTTGCTTAAATCCATTGATATCACGCTTACTATCTTATTTGCTCTTGCACGTTCAATGTGGAGCAGATAACGTATATGTTATTAAGCCTATACCGAAATATATACGCATAATATGAGAAATACGCTACCAAGCTTTGAAGAATGAGTTTTTAGATGTACTGTAGACTAAAAATGAACGTTGTTTTTTTTGGTTTAAACGTTGTAAAACGCAAGATAATAAATAAATCAGTCATATGCATGTTTTCTTGCCTTTTTCACGACTGGAATATAAATCAAACAGTCGCTAATTCCATTTTCCCAGATAACTCAAGATAATGGCAATTTACCTTGTAATTATGGTACTTATAATTTATTTTTAGATGTGATAGCTACACATATCGTTTTATGTGGATAGCATTACGTTTATGAACACCACGAAAATTATGTTTACTGGGAAAATTGGCATGGCTATTTAAAAAAAATACTAATTTCCACAAGCTAGGAATGAAAGGACACTTTTTTCCAAGAGAAAAATTAGCATGAAGTTAAAATCTGCAGGAATATATTTTCAATGCGTTTATGCTCATTTCAGATCCAATGACCTCACATGTTGCCCCACAAGATACTGACCAAAGAGGAGGATCCGGTACTCCATACACCCTAACGGAAAGTCGTTTGGCTACCATCAGAAACCTCTTTATGTATCCTTTCTACAACCAAGGGGGAAACGTTGATAATGAGGGAGATTACCAAAAGGAGATTCAAGCCTCTTCACCTCAGGTATTTGAACTTATGGGAATAAAGTTCATTGGCTGATCAGCATCTGGTTTCTAGGTACACAAGAATTTGAACTTCCAACTGCCATTCTTCGGCTTCAGATTCAACTACACCAGAGTATCGCTAAATGGTTATTTGGAGTTCAGCGATCCGCCACCAAACTACGAATATCCTTTGGTATTTCCCGTCAGGGATTGGCCGAAGAGAAACGATCCGTCTTTCATTGGAATCTTCTTCAGCAAATGCAGGATCGGTAGGAGTTGAACTGTGGTTAAATTTCTCATTTTATTAACAAGTGTTTCAGGAAACCTTAGGGACGACGATCAAGATCAACGCAACCCAGGAGTGTATTTCCGCATGGAAAGGGACTTGCTGACCAGAACTGACCAGATGGGAGTCGAAATACGCGAGAGACTCAAGTGGGATATTCGCGAAGGAGTAATTGGTGCTGAGGCGTTTGAACCCAAACATGCCATTATTGTGACCTGGAAGAACATTTCGTTCAATGGCGGCTTTGCCAATGCATTGTTCCAGGTAATTTTTCTCTTTTTAATGTAAATCCACATATGAAACAATACTGTCATTTTGCACTAAGACCAACACATTCCAAATGGTTCTGGCCACTGATGAAGTTTACACCTATGCAATGTTCAACTATCTGGATATTTCCTGGACGAGTCACACTGAAGCTGGAGGAGACACGCGAAAAGGAGAAGGAGGAGTTCCAGCTTATGTGGGATTCAATGCCGGTAAGTTATAATTTATTGTTTGCCGAAGATCTTGAAGTTTTCACAAGCAAGTTTTTTCATGTAGGTAACGGCACAAGAAGTTGGGAGTACAGCCCATACAGTCAGGCCTCTGTAATTCGGGATTTATCTGGACGAGGTTACGCGAACGGGTTCCCTGGAAGGCATTTGTTCAGGATCGATGAAAATATTCTAGTAGGAACATGCAATAAAGACATAGGTACGAAATAATACTTAGTGAAGCACTCATTAAATTTTTCCTGTAAGGTACCAATTAACAGCGGTAATTTTTAACAGATGGTGCAAATTTGCCGCTAATGTTCGCTCCTGAATCGGGCAACATGTTGGGAGGTACAGTGGTGAACATTACTGGGCCATGTTTCAACCCTACCGATCAGGTGATTTGCAAATTCGATGTAGCTGACGTGGTTTATGGTACTGTGGTGAGCAGGAACAGGGCCATTTGCATCCAGCCTCCTCTTATGGTCGAGGGTTATGTGAGGTTTGAAATTGCAATTGGACCAGGAGTTTACAAGTGGAAAGGCCAGTACTATGTGGGTAAGTTTGATGCAAAGTGTGGGTCTTTTGAAGATGGTTCCTTGATTAAGGTAGAAAATTCGTACTTTTTAAACGGAATTTGAGTCACAAAATAGTTCAAAATATATCAAGTGCTTCCTAGATTATTGTTCAACGGCAAAAAATTGGGCTTCTTCTTGAATGAGTCACAGCTTCACTGAAAGTTTCATTTTTCAATAGATTTTGATTTTGAAACATTTATGTCCATAATGGCTCTTTCAGTAACTCACTGCTGCTCTTTCCAGAAACACCAGCTAGTGCTGCACAGAAAATCTACTTCAAAGACATGAAAGTGCACGATAAAGCTCCTAGTGAGATCAAGATTACCTGGGAGAAGTACAATTTGACTGCAAATGATGCCGCCAACATCAGGATTTCTTTATGGGGTTATCGGGAGACCACAATACGTCCAACTCTTCTGTATATCACAGGTGAGTTGTCTAGAATCACTTGAAAAATGCAGCAAAATTAAAACAATTTTTTTGAATTTAGATATCGCAGAAAACGTGCAGAATACTGGAGAGTACACCATCACACCTTCGCAATATAGGAACAGGGAAAACACCTTTTTAACCGATTTACAGTTTGGCTTCCTCCAAATCAATCTAACTGAATCGATTCCTGTTCAAGCTGATTACAGTGGCACCGGTTCTTCTTCTACCACCACTAATACAGCGGTTACCATCACTCCGGTAGTCTGGAGCAGGTATGCGCTGAGCAGTTTATCCATTTGAATGGCGAAATACATTTTTATGCTGATTTTTCTTAGACCAATTCCTCTTGGATGGTATTTCAACTGGCAGTGGGAGCGAATGTACGGGACAAACTGGCCTCGAATTCTGTGTGATGATTGGCTGAGAACCGACAGATATCTGAAGAATTTCGCTCACGAACTACCTCAATGTCCGTGCACTTTAGAACAGGCCTTGATTGATAAAGGGAAATATATGCCCGATTTCGATTGCGATAAGGATTCCAATCCGACTTGCTACTACAACAATCAGGCCGTTCATTGTGTAAGAACCGGATCACCCACGTAAGTAAATTAGTTGTTAAAGTCTCTATTTTAGATGAAGAGTTAGAGGAGAAAAATATTAAATATGCACGACTTTCAGACTGGAAGGATCAGAGCAACAATGCTGCTACGACAAAAACCACTACCTGATGTTGTCCTACGATCAGCAATGGGGTTCCAGCCCCAAACGATGCCACAATCTCGGCCTGATGCCCTACCAGGAAGCCACCAAAGTGCCCACCTTATCCCAATGGTTCAACGATATGGTACCCAAATATCTGTGCTGTTTATGGCAAGAAGAGCAAGCGGTTGGGTGCGAAACGGTTCGATTCGAGCGAAGACCCAGCCAGGATTGTGTGGCCTACCAAGCTCCAGGTATTGCTGGAATTTACGGCGATCCTCACATTGTCACCTTCGACGATCTGGATTATACGTTCAATGGAAAAGGGGAGTTCGTACTGGTCAAATCCAAAACGAAATTGAACAACATTGAGGTGCAAGGGCGCTTTGAGCAAATGGATCCCAATCTCTACGGAGAGGTGCGGGCGACTCAACTGACATCGGTGGTTGCAAGGGGTAATACTTCCACAGTGGTGGAGGTGAGAAGAAGACCGGAATATGCCAGGTGAATACGAAAATGTGCTTTATATTGCGGTTTTTTGCGTCTAGTTTAAAACAATATTTTAAGCACTTCAAAGCTATATTTTTTAGTTTACCTCTTGGTTTCTTTGTACGTGTCACTAGTTCAAATCCTCAATGGGTTCAAAATCTACGTATTGACAAATAACAAGTTGTGAATGAAGGAACAGATTTTCGATGAAAGTTTGACGCAACAAGTGCACCGAGTTTCATGGGAAATATGTTGAATATTTAGAAGTATTTTCGCATCACTTAAAAAGTTTTTTAGTTCGTCTGTAGGTCTTATTCGTATTTGACCTTTAATCACGCTTGGTAATTTGAAGGCGTTTCCAATATTGATTCAATTTCCAACTGGAAATCTTCGATAATTGTTCAAAAATTACTAGTGCCCTTTTTTAAAACCTGGCATCGAAAAACAAGCAGGTTTAAGTGCGAAAAGCTAAAAACCCGCTATTAGAAACTACTTGCTAAAGTTTCGATAATGAACTTTTTTAATCAGCTTCTTATAAATTCGTTATCAGACTTTAGCAACATTTTTTTACAGATGGAGATATAGACTGGACGTGATTGCAGACGGCAAAAGAGTATATTTCGATAGACCTTCTTTGAAGTTCCAACATTTCCCAGGCGTTACTGTTTACACTCCTACATATATTTTGAACCAATCTGAAGTTATCATGATGTTCGACAATGGTGTCGGTGTGGAGGTACTTGACAATAATGGTAAGTTACGATGGTAAGCATGCAAAAGCTACCAATTCTTCTCTGGCTAAAGAACTGTGAAAATGATAGAAATCAATACAGATCATGTATGGTTCAAACCAAAAAATTATAGTCTAGTTTATTTATAGTATAGTATATAGTTTTATAGTATACTAGCTAACCCGGCAAACGTTGTATTGCCATATAAATTATTCCTAGGGTTTTTTTCATCTCGAGTGGGCGGTTTGCCCACTTGAGATTTTTTTTATTTTATTTTAAATTTATTGAATTACTAATATAGCTATTAAAAGATAGGGGTTCATGGCAGCACCCATATCACTTAGGGGTATAAAAAATACATAGCAACCTATTCTCAGACCTACTGAATATACATACAAAATTTCATCAAAATTGGTCAAGCCGTTTCGGAGGAGTATGGTAACTAAAACTGTGACACGAGAATTTTATATATATAGATAAAAAAGTATACAGTTTCAATTAACGAGATAGATAGATAGAAGGAAAGTTCTGTGTGGTTAAGGCGGGTTCAAGTTTTCAAAACATTTTTCATGGATATTTGACCTCAAAATGTTTGTCTTTTAAAAGACAGAATTTACTTTCCACACAAGAAACTTTTTCCATTTTTGTAACGCAAAAATGTTGAGGCAAAATACCCAAAAAATTGGTTTGAAGAAAGTTAGATAGAAAAAGTTCTATTGTTGGGAGGGTCATTCACTTCATAACCGAAAAAGTTTTAAACTACTTTATTGCAAAAAATTGGCGAAAAATTAAAGTAAACATTTATTAGAAGAAATGGGAATCATAATGAAAGAGTAACGTTGTTAACCATTTATTTTCTGCAATTTCCAATTTCTGTCTGAAGATCGTTTACAGTAACACTCACAAACAATTGATAGGACTAATTTTGAATTAATCTCGAAAATAGCCAGCTTTATTTGGGTTTTCCGATTGGTTGGATTGGAACTTGATGATAATATTCTAACTAATCCAAGTGTTGAGATTGTTATAAATTATTCCGTACGTTGATGAGAAAAATTTCACATAATAAAATTTAAAAAACTTAAAGGTTACATGACAGCCAGAGTATTTCTACCATGGTCCTTCATCAACAAGACGGCCGGATTGTTGGGCAATTGGAGTTTCAACAAGGAAGATGACTTTACTCTCCCCGATGGACAAAGAGTCAGTGTTGTTACCAATGTAAATGACATGGAACGAGTTTACACCCAATTCGGATTGCTATGGATGGTGAATGATGTCCTGGACGCTGATAGAGGTACTGACGAAACTTCAAATAGTTTGTGCAATCAAACAACTGTGAACATTTAACAGGTAGATCACTGTTCCTGCGAGAAAACGGCCAGACTTCCTCCAACTATAATAACCGCTCTTTCGTGCCAATATTCCCGATGACTCCGGAAGAAATCATTCCGGCAAACCGGTCCAATCTGATCCAAAGAACTCACGAAATCTGCAATACCCAGATGTACGAGTGCTACTACGATTATGCGATGACTTTGAACAGAGACTTGGCTCATTACACGCAAAACTACAAAACCACGATATATAAATACAAGGGAATTTCTCGAACAAAGGCAAGTACATATATTAAGTATACCGCATTCCAATAAAAGACCCTCCAGCGAAAATCAAAAGTAAGGAACAATTAAAGAAGAAAACAAGAACTTAATTTCCTCGACTAGCATTAGACAAGTTTATATTTTGTCGAATTGGACAAGTTGCCTCATGTATGGAAACTGACCAAGTCTTCTCTTGTGTAAGCATCCTTGAGTGCCATACGTTGCAAGCAAATGAAGGCAGTGTTGTTGGCTCTGAACCGATTTAATAGATAAAACAACTTAAAAATATAAAAATTAAATAATTTTTATTAATTTGGTATATTTTTATTCTATACCCGAAAACTTTCAGTATCAATTTTAGGAAAGTAAGAGGTTTTTCTGACGCAAGAACTATCAAACTAATTTTCAAATAACTTTCAAAGGTCACATTTTAGAACTTTTGTCGGTTCCATCTGTAAACTATCCGCAGATATACAAACTCATTTTTTCTCTCACGAATGTGTTTTTGCAGGTCGTTTCTTGTGGTATTATGCCAACGCCCCGATTTGGCCGAAAAAGTACATTTTTGTTCATACCCGGTACCAGAGTAACATTTGAATGCGAGCAGAACTTTGTGCTGATTGGAGACAATCGAAGAACTTGCGGAAGTGATGGACAGTGGGACATTCCCGAATATGGCTACACCCACTGCTTGCGTAAGTCCCTTTACTGAGGCTAATTTTTCAAAGATAATTTAATGTTATTGCATCCAGGTCAACAAGAATACTCGCAACGTCAACTAGCGGTCGCTTCTGGAATAGTTTTCCTAGTACTCATACCGTTACTGATACTAATCGCCTACATAGCGTATAGAGTGTATTTAAAATATGTTGATAGCGAGGAAAGTTCTTGGCAATACCAAAAGCCTGTCATGTTAGCTCGTAGCTTTAGCCCGACTTCTGATGCGTTCAGCAACCCGTCCAGCGACAGATCGAGCACTGATAGCATGTTTAAGAGGAAGCGTAGCTACGATAAGACTTATCGCACTCATGAGCCGTTAACCGGTTTGCCCGAAACCGATTTCGAGCAGAAAGAACTCGACCCGAATGAGCCAGAATTTGAGCCAAAGTCGCCCACTAGTCCTACTCCTAGTTCAGTTGTTTACAGTCAACCATTCCAAAGCCAGCCCGATTTGGTTAATCCTGCTGGAAAAGAAAGGCTCACTTATGGCTCGGATGACTACGCTATTCCAGTTAAAAAAAATAACGTTTCTCCTACTGCAAAGTTTTTCCCTAGTTCGCAATTGTCTCCAACAGACAAAACAAGAATGAGCAGTCAGAGCAACATTGTGACTGCGGTGTAGCTGAATGTCTGAAAGGAGATATCAAGTTGCTTTACTTTTTAACATAAATATGCCCTTTGGCTAGATTTCTGGCATGTGGAATAGTGAGTTTTCTTTAGCTAAGACGTACAAATGAAAACAAGCTTTTAATATTCTGGGCATACTCCGGCGGAAATTTTACCTGTTGTGATAAAGGATGACAGTTTAGCTATATTTGTACCCACAAAACCAGAACGTTGCCATTCAAATTATATTTTTTACTGGCTAACTAAGGATATTTTGTAAGCAGAGTTATTTAATACATGTTTTGGATTATATGAATATGGGAAAAATTCCACATGCTAGGAATATAGTTTAATTTAGTTCATCAGCAATGGTATGAGTACTGCAAGGTATATTCCTAGTTTGCGGAATAGTACCAATTGTGTCTTATTTCATTTATACCTTTTTAATTTAGGAAATGGTTTTCCGCAAGTATCTTGTTAGATTCACTAATTCTCATCTAAATATGTTAATTTTTTATCTCTAATTTCTTTGGTTTCGCGGGTTTCTACTGAAATTGAATATAACTTAATAGACGTTTTCTCCGAAAAGTTTTAATGAGTTAACATTTACAAATTTTAAATGAACAGTTATGACAATTGCTCTTCAATTGAAGGTAAGCCCAAACTAATAATCCCGCCAAGAACTTTTGCAACTTCTTTACTTAAATAATTAACAAAATTGATATTTTAGGACAACAGGAATATTCACAAAGGCAGCTCGCAGTTGCTTCCGGAATCATTTTCGTGGTCATGATTCCATTGATCCTGCTATTCCTTTACCTGGCTTACATGATGCTTAAGAAGAGACAAAAAGAGCAAGAAGAGGAGCAAATGCTTAACAGCAGTTACGAAGAACAGAAAAGGTAAATTCAGTAGTTTGATGATAGGCGTAAAGTAAACTTTTTGACTTGTAATGATTTACATTTACATAGGAAAGCGCAAGAGGCTGCAGCTAAAAAGCTAACAGAATCTAATGACTACGATGATGAAGATGAAGTGACTAGCAACGTGACGAGTACTGCGTCTCCTTCCTCTCCGGTTCCCCAAATACAAAATAATAACACCACAGCTCCTTCGTCACCATCAAAGAAAGAATCGGATATATTTTAATGGTTGCTTCTAATTTTATTGTAGATGTAAGTTTGAACGGTTTAAGCAAAGTGCACTTTACAAACGGGTGTGAACCCAAAGAAAATTGATTACTTGTTGAGTTGTTTAGAATTGACACAATAAAGCTTTACTGGAAATTTTTGGTAGGTCTGAGTTTAACAAATAGAAATTCCAACATCGCTTGGTTCAGGTGAACCGGAAATCATTAGATTTTGTTCTAGTTCAATAATTTAGATATTGTTTTGTAAGCGTTTTCGTATGTTTAGTTAGTGTTTTTAGGATATTTATTAATTTTAGTTAATCACTTATTACTTTCGTCCGAGGAGGGAAGGGACACGAACAAAGTACAATTACTATTTTATAATGAGTCTAGTGTAGTTATTGCTGTAGAAAATTCAATAAATAATCAGAAATATAGTATTCCATTAAAGTGGCAGTTTATATTATTATGATGGTTAAAGATTGAGTTATTTGAAAATTGTTATCTATAAATCGCAAAGTGTTTTAATTGCATTTTGGAATGGGCAGATTTAGATCATCAGTACGATAAAAATGGGATTTTCTTTTGTTAAGCTTCCAAAAGTCTCGGGTTTCTTGTTTCAAATCTTGGTTCTGATTAACCCTTTAAAGGACGTGAAAATCATCAGTGTGATAAACATAATTTTTTTTCTGTACATTTATTGATTTTATCAGACAAGCTTTTTGTGGCACGCCAGTTTTCACAGAGATTTCGCTGATGAAACTGCGGAAAGTTAGATGAAGATAAAAAGAAACAGAGACAGAAACAGTACCTGCAAGTTAAAAGAGGATATAATGAAACATTGTGTGGAATATTGCTGAAAAGGCTTGTAGGAATTTCCGAGTAAATCTGGGAATAGTTTTGTTGGTATGTTTTATCTGTTATTAGTGTAGTTTCATCATCTTATTATTCTTATTTTAAGACAATGTCTTTTTTTTTTATCAAAGTTGTAGCCTAAGGTGTGACGCCGATGTGCAGCTTATTGCAGATCGCTAATATACATCATCTCAGTTCCCGTGATATTGTCAGAGATTTCGTTTTCTAGGCAGAGATCACCATGCTTAATTCCTTTGAAGCTCTTTCGAATCTATAAAGTAGTTTCGGCAGATTGTCCTCATTTTCCGATATTATCACCGCGTCGTCAGCGTAGCAAATTATTTTGAATTATTTTCTTGCCCAGTTTATATCCTTTTTCAGCGAATTTTACTTCCATGATGATCTTAAGATCTCTGATCCATTAAGACGTCAGAGAGTATTGGGCTGAGACTATCCTCTTGCCTGATTCCTGTTGAGACTAGGATCTGAGCGGAAAAGCCTATTGTTTGCATGTAAAGGGTGTTCCAATAAGAACAACGGATTTAAATGTTAAATAAAACATATATGTTTGTGGCATAAGTTTGAAACATTTATTGAAAAGTGGTGTACGCATCATGAGGTTATGAATGGAATAAGACATCGGATAAATGACCGCCTCGGCTTTGCTGGCACAGACGTGCTCTTTTTATGAAATTTTCAAGGACTGCTGCGCATAAATTTAGCGCTATTTCAGAGATACAGCGTTGAAATTAATCTTTTAAGGCTTCAATGGTTGTTGGTTTGTTCACATAAACTTGCGACTTTAATAAACCCCAACGAAAAAAGTCGAAAGGCGTTGAATCGCATGATCTGGGCGGCCAATGCCGGTCTCCAAAACGAGAAATAATTCGACCAGGAAATGACTCGTGCAGTAATTCAACACATTCTCTGGCTGTGTGGCATGTTGCACGGTCCTGTTGAAACCACATGCTGTTGAGATCCATATTTTGCAATTTTGGTACAAAAAAGTTAGTTAACATTTCACGATAACGAACACCATTCACGTTTAATGCTTGACCAACTGCATTTACGAAGAAAAATGGTCCGATAATGCCTCCAGCAACAATTCACACCAAACAGTGACTCTTTTTGTATGCATCCAAGCGCATAAAGCGTGCATTTTCGGAACCCGAAATGCGACAATTTTGTCAATTAACGAAGCCATCAAGATGAAAATTGACCTCGTCAGTAAAGATGATTTTCGTTGAGAAATCTCCGTCCAATTGTGGTTGTTCCAAAATCCATTCAACAAAAGCCCTTCGTTGTCCATGATCTTCCGGCTTTAGCTCTTGAGCCAATTCAACTTTGTACGCATAAAGCTTCAAATCTTTTGTTAAAGTTCGATGCAGAGTGGTTGTAAAAACACCAATTTCTAGAGCTCTATGCCCAATTCATGTGGTTGGGCTTTCCTCAACATTTGCACGTACTGCTGCGATATTTTCAGTTGAGCGAACAGGACGGACGCGTGTTTATGTTTTCAAACAAAAACTGTTTCTGTGTTTAAATTTCCTCCTTTAATAGTTTCAGGACATCGCACTCTAACCCTATCAAAGGCTTGTGTTAAAAAAATGAGAGTCCGTACTTCTGGGTGGCCAAGGAATAACGCACTCAAAGTAGGCACGCACAGCCGGAAGGCGCTCCATATTGCATAAACCGCAAGTTTCTTCTTAAATCAAATGGTGAAAAAGATATTCAATATTCAAGTAACTCGACCAAATTTTGTTGCATAATTTGGCAGAAAGCTCAAATGTCCCAACAAAGAATTGCCAAAGTTGTAGATAAGTTCTATATTTTTTACAAACTTCTTTTTGGGTATTTCGCCTCAAAAATTGTTGTCTTTAAAAAAGACAGAATTTCCTCAAGTCTTTTATTACAGATTGATAAATAGTGCTCCTATTTCGCAATAAGAACGAATTATTTATCAAAAAGTAATCA